GACCCTTGCAACTTTCATATCCTTTACTATCTCCACTTCATGAGCCTCCTTTAGTGGTTCCTGGCCTCTACAGACCCTCACTCAAATTAAATACAGAAACCTAAAAATTCAAAGCCAGGACTGCATATGAGAAAGAACATACGGTGTTTGTCTTTCTGGACCTGAGTTGCCTCACTCAGTATATTTCCCAGAGCCATCCATTTTCCTGAAAATTTCATAGTCTCACTCTAACAATGGAGTAGAATTCTACACTGCATATGGATCACATTTTCATTATTCATTCATCAGTTTCTGGACAAGATTTAGGCTGATTCCATGTCCTACCTCTATTGTGTCTAGAGCTGTAATGTATATGGATGCGGAGGTATCACTGTTGCCCTGGAAACAAATAAAAATTATGTTATTGAGCAGGTTATGTTTACATATTTAGGAATGTATAAATAAATATGTAATAACAATTAAAGAAAAAGAGGTCATGAATTTGAAAGGGTTCAAGGAGGGGTATGCATTGGAAGGTTTGGAGGGAGGAAAGGGGAAGAGGGAAATGATATAATCTCAAAAGATTGAGAAAAATTTAAAGCTAAAAATAGGACTTCCATATGTTGTAGAAGTACCATTCTTAGACATATACTGAAAAAACTCTAACCTACAACAGAGATCCTGTTCACAATGACCCATGTGCCTTAAGTGTAGGCATTGCGCTGTAGATGTATCAGTTGGTACTGAGCTCCACAACTCTGTGTTTTCATTGGCCGTACCTTTCTGTAATGGTCTCCATCTGTTTCAGAGATAAGTGCCTCAGTGAAGGGTGAAGATGATATTTATCTGTCTGTATGAGAACACATATTTAGAGGGTAGTTAGGGCTTCTACTGGTTTAATAATATGGTAGTTTTAAGTTCTCCAAGGTTTGTGACTTCACTAGTCCTGGGTGGTTGGCTAGGTTTCCAAAAACAGGCATGATTTTCCTTTTGTTGAACTGACTTTAACTCAAGTCAGAGAGCTGTTGATCACTACCAAGGTATGTGTGTCACGACTCCACCCTTATGGTTACGGTGCCATGCTAGTGACTTGTAGTTCATAGGCCTCACAGCTACATGGGACTGTTGGTTGCTTTCTCCCTTTGGAAGCTTGCATGATGCCTTCAGGTACCACAGAAACTAGTCCTCAAGGAAGAGGCTTTGAGGACAGATCCAGCTCAGGAGTCTCAGGACTCTGAGGAGCACACATGCACATCTATTGCAACTTGGTCTATAGGTGCATAACCATAAGAAAGATAGTGTGAACAGTGAGCACCTGAAATATGGTTTACGTGACTGAGGAACTGAATTTTAGATTACATTTCATTTCAGTTCATTTAAATTTAGTTCCAGCATGTATAGTGTTCTAAATAAATAAGATAAACTTAGTGAAATGTAACTAGTGGCTACCATATTGAAAAGAACAGCCTTAACCAGTTTTTTACCAAGTTAGGTGGCATATGACCTTTACATTTAGGGAACTGAAGAAGAATACAATCTCCCATGGGTGAGGTAGACTAAGTCAGTCATGATGACCACATATCCCCATGTGGCAGAAAACACATGCATTCTTGCATGTAGTTACTAGATCAGGGAACTTGCAATGGTTGGATTGTTTGTGAATATGAGTAGAACATAAAGAAACCGTGAGGATGGTGAACATCCTGTGGTGGCAGCAGGAAGCTATTATCTGTGGTCATCCAGTGGCACAAAGAGGAAGAGTTTCTGAAACATTCTCAAATGGATGCTGTATGTGCAGAAACTCACCTCTCTTTGAAATGGCCGTTTTGCAGGCTAACTTCTGAGGGCTTTGAACACTATGGTTTGTGTCTTGACTAGTCTGCTTCCATTGTAATATAACCTTTCCTTCATAGGCCTGCATACCTCTCTGTGTGTCTCTTGGAAGCACTTCTCATTGAGTCCAGGTGTCTTGGATAAAACGTCTTCATCTCAAGGTCACTAACTTGGCTGTGTCTGTAAAGACCTCTTTAGTAATAATCTTTTGCTTCCTTTGGTCTCTACTAGAAGCTGAAAGCCAAGCACACTCATGTGTCCACAGAGATCAGTCACAGCAAGAAGTGGAACAGAGGAATAGGGTGTAGATCTAGGAAGAGAGGATCCTATTCAGAGAACATGAAAATAGTCATTTTTATTACAAATGTGCTTTTGGCATCCGATTCAACTGGAATTCAAACCATTGAGTGGCAGTACTGTAAGTAAACTCAACTCTATTCTTATTTATGTGAACAAGATCTCTCCATGTGAGCTTCAATTCATTTTAGCAGAACTGACTCGTCTAAAGGAAAACGCCCTATGGGAGAAGAGGGACACCCCACTCATTTCACATGTGTTTTCCCAAAATGTGCATAGAACAAGAACAGTTAAACATTTTCTATGCATGAGGCTTAAAGCAATGGTGAGCTACAAGAATCATAATTATAGTTTGAACCAGGGAAAAAATTCTCAAAATCAGGAGTATATAAGCAAGAGGAAACATTTACTTAGTTTATACATATTCAGAAGGAAGTAATAAAACATTTAATTATAAGAATAAAATTTATTATGATAATATCTATAGAGGAATGGGCACTTAACTTTAAGAAAAATAATGTAAGATGCTGGACTTTCTGAGTCTTATAAAACTGTCTTAGAGTTGCTTATAGGTTATTTGTTTGTGTGTATGCACATGTATGCATGTGCATACATGAGTTTATGTATACCATGTGTATGCAGGTGTCTACAGAGGCCAGAGGAGTTGGCTTCCCTAGAGCTGGAGCTATGCATGGTTGTTGGCTGCTTGATATGTATTCTGGGAACTAAATCTGGGTCCTCTAGAAGAGCAGCAAGTGCTCTTAACTTCTGAGGCATCTCTCATGGCCTGAAAGAGTCTCACTGTGTTCCTTTGGAGGGGGGAAAGTGATGCTGTTGAACCTAGGTCTTTCAATGTGTTACACAATGGCTCTTCTATTAAATGATAATCCCAGCCCTTTTCTCAATTTTATAAAATGATGGAATCAAATTACCACAACTGGTGAACTGTCAGTGCAGAAGATGGATCCAAGCGTCTATATCTCCACAAACAAAAAACAGTTGACAGACTGGCAATATGGAGATAATACATGCTTTTAGAAATCTGGAATTTACATTGGGCAGTGGTGGCACACGCCTTTAATCCCTGTACTCCCGAAGCAGAGGCAGGTGGATCTCTGAGTTCAAGGCCAGTCTGATCTACAAAAGCTAGTTCCAGGACTGCTAGGTCTACAAAGAGAAACATTGTCTCAAAAAAATTTAAAAAAATAAAGAAAAGAAAAAGAAAAAAATCTGGAATTTAAGCAAGAGCTTGTAATAACCTGGGGAACATTTAATCGGCAAAGAATATCTGAACCTCCATGTATGGCTCAGTAATCCAACCCAGTGTGGTGTATACCCAAGGGACTGAAAACATAGTCAGATAAAATTGTGTCATAAACATTTGTAACAGAATTATTAGTAATGAACAAGTGAAAATGATCCAAATGCGCATCACCTGGTGATCAGATAAAATTTGGTATATTTATACAATGGAATATTACTCAGCTATATAAAGGAATGAAATAACAATACATTAATCCATTAATGTATTACAATAATACACTAACTACAATGTGGATGAGCCTTGCCAGCACTACGACAAATGAAATAAAGCAGTCATAAAACATGTGTTGTATAATTTACTTTTGTTTTTATGAACTGTCCAGAACAGGCAAATCCATAGAGAAAGAAATAAAATTAATAGTTCCCTGAGGAAAGATGAGGGAAATGGAGAATAGCTGCTAATATATATGTCTTCCTTCAGGATGATGGGCAATATCATGAATGCATAAAGGCCACCCAACTCTCCGCTTAGAAAAGGTCTAGACTGTAAATTTTATGTTGTGTGGATTTTATCTCAATAAAAAATTCCATGAGATGCAATAAGAATATAAAGCATTTTCATCTGCAGATTTAATATTTTCAACATTCCTGGTTACCACCTTTGCAATGTTTAAAATGTTAGAAAAAAAAATGTGTGCAGGGTAGGTGGAGTCAGGTGAGACAGCCGCTACTGGACTTTCATGCAGAAAGGCTGCAGTGCCAACGGTCGGATTCTATAACTTCACAATTTCAGGTGACTCAACCTTGAGGTTTGTTGATTTCCTAAGAAGTCTAAGAATCAATAAATATGACATCAAGGATCAGAGAAGGAAGGTGAAGTTAGCCTTGCTGGTTGGAGGGATTGGAGGGAAGAGATAGACCTGAGTGGACCAGCCTTTTGAGGCAGAGGATGGAAACAAAAGCAGAGAATCTTGAGAGGCAGCACATGGGAGCCTGGACAGCACAGTGCTGGACACTGCACTCAGCTGCTGCATGGTAGCCGCTGCGTCTCAGCGTCCAGGCATGAGCAGTGAAGATGATGTCGGATTGTTTTCAGGATCAGCGGCCTGATGTATAGAAAGAGTTTAGAGCAACTGCGCCAATATTTGCTGATCAGTCAGCATCTCCAAAATTAACGATGTGCGACACCAACCCCATTGGCTTGAACAGTGGCATTCATTCCTCGATTGCACCCATTACAATGGGTGCTCTTACTTTGGGCTACAGGCTGAGTCCAGGTCTCCTCCAAATATTTCATCTACTTTGAAATAGCTTCTAACCAGGGCACATGCCTTGTGTGGCAAAATATCAAGAACGTGAGACATTAATCTTCAGAGAGAAGTCACTTTACTGTTGTCTTCATTTTATTTTGTTTTATATGTCGCTCTGAATTTTTGTATTTTCATTGAAATTTAAATAGGGATTACACTATCATTCATTTAAAAATTCCTCAGTTGTCACACAAATACAGTAAAAAACACCAGTATTATATCAATCCTAAGCAATATGAACACACACACACACACACACACACACACACACACACACACACACGAGGAGGGGAAGGAGAGGGAGAGATTTTCTTAGATCCTGATTTCATTTTGAATATGATTTCTCTCTGCTCTTCTTTTGACCAGGCAGTCATTTGTACTGTATGGACAGTATTCGCTGCCGCTACCAAAGAGACATAACTTGGAAGTGCTTATGAGTGATTTGCTGTGCTCCTGAGCAGGTGAGACACATCCAAGGGAACCCATTCTCTCCACCCTTCATTTGGCTGCGTGTCTTACAGTTCAAAGCCAGCAAAGCTGTGATCTCAAGTTTTTTATCTGTTCTTGGTGAGAAAACTAAGGAAACCCATTCTGATAGAGATAAATCAGAGACGGATGACTTACACCTCTGCAGACAACCTAGATATATAATCCTTGACAACCATTCATTTGTTTTCCTTCCTGGAATAGTCCATTTAGCTTTCAAGACTTTAGTAACCATTTTTTAAATGCATTCGTATTCGTATGTATGTATTTATGTATGAATTTATGTGTGTATGTATGTATATGTTTGGCCACTCATCCACATGAACAGTACATGTGTTCAGTAGCCTCAGAGGTCAGAAGAGGACACTGGATTCCCTGAAACTAGAGTTACAGGGGGTGATGAGTCACTTGATCTAGGTGCTGGGACCTGAGCTGAGGTCTTCTGCAAGAACAGCAAGTGTTCCTAAGCCCTGAGCCATCTCTCCAACTGAAGCTTCAGGGATCTTTTTTATAACAAAGTGAATAAAATTAGCACTTTGTAAAAATCTCATATTTTTATGAAGTGCTTGAACTTATCTCCTGAAATCAAGTGTTTACTATGAATGTGTAGGAATGGCAGAGTGTTCCAGTCAGGCAGCAAAAACCCTTTCTCACCAGTGTGCAGCGTGCCTTTTGAGCACTGGTAGGATAGGATTGTTTGTTTCCAGAAAGACAATGCTGACTGACTGACTGGACAGAAGTCACAGCTGTTCTCGTTAATTGTGGTTTAAATGTTTTATATGATGGTTACATTTCCTTTGAATGAGCAAGCAATAACCTAGCCCCAGAGATGGAAGAGTTCCTCTCTTGAGATGTGACAGCTCCTGAAGTCCCCATAAAACGACAGTGTCCTTGTGACCTTCCAGGGTTAAGGCGTGTGCACATTAACACAGCTGCCATTCATCATCTTTAGAGGGAGAGAAAACCGTCATGGACAGATCGGCCCATTTCCAAGTGAACAGCAAAGCAATAGAAAAATCTTTAAGTTGTGTGATTCCCATTGATAACAGGAACACTTATTTGTAAGGAAGTACTCCAGAGTGTTTATAGAGAGACTTGGTGTGATTGCTCCTCTCTGATGTCGTCCTGACCATACACACCAGCGTGGACTTCACAGGGGACGATCACAGTTAACCAAGTGGGGATTAAATTATTTTTAAACAATATGTCTACAAGGATACAAAATAGATACATTCCATTTTTACATACTATTTTCCTACCATCATTGCTTAAGTGATGCACTGTAACTAATGCCTTTCCCACATCACTTAACATTGTATTCGGCACTATCAGTCATCTAGAGAGGAATCAGGGACATAGCCGCGTGTACTTAGAACATATGCGAGTACTGTGCTAGCTTATATAACTTGAGTACGTGTTCATCAGAGGGAGGTCTTAGCCTCACAGACACCGAGGGATGCCTGCATTGCTTTCATAATCTGAACATTTCCTGAAAACCACATGTCAGCTTTCTTCTTTCCCTTAATTCTTGAAGTATCCTATAAGAGAAATGGCATTTTATACATCATTATGCTGGAAAATAATAACGTCAGTGTCCCACAAAGGAACACATGAACAAAGTGAAAGTATCTTGGCAAGGTAACTTCTTTTTGCAAGATGGGTGTGTGCAGAACCCAGATTGGACTATTGAATGTAAGGAGCCAAGATAGTGTCTATGTTTTATTCCTGATATAGGTGGTGACAGTTTCTCATCCTATTGGCGGAAATTTGACCTTACAATCTACAGTGATTGACTAATCGGGGCAAAGGGTAAGGGCGAGGTTCATTGACTACGGACCCTTGTTGGGATAATTACCTTTGATAGAAAAGAAGAATCTGCTTCTCACAAAAATAAGGCACAAAAGATGGTTTTCAAACTATCTACCCCTTATCCTCTTTATTCTCTTTTTCTTGATCTCAATCGATGTCATAATGACGCAGTAGATATTTGGTTTGGTGAGTACCTCCAGAGGGGTCCATAACAAAGGATTTACAGAAGGCATGTGAGAGAATTTATTTAAAAAGTGTACATTTCCAAGGGATGATTCTTGCTGACTAGATGACAGCCGTTTCAAGGGTCCATTCTAAACTGTCACCCATGTTCATTTCAGTACTATGATGAGCCACAGGCCTCTCTAGGGCTCTGCAGTGACTGTTGTACATGCACCAGTGGCTGGATTTTACAGGACACATTTGAGCATTATTCACCATTTTTTTTCATGTGTTAATTTAGTAAGGCTCGGCACAAGGTCTTCTGGACCTTGCTTTCTATTTTCCAGCCACAGACCCTGGGGAGAAGAAGGCAGAGTCAGAGGAGTCACCAGCCAGACACAGAAGGAGCAGGAGATGACTGTGCCATGCTAACAAACCTACCAACACATGGCAGGGTGTAGATAAGGAATATGGGTTAACTTAAAGTGTAAGAGTTAGCTAGTAATAAGCCTGAGCTATTGGACGAGCGCTTACAATTTTTTTTTTCGAGACAGGGTTTCTCTGTATTGTTTTAGAGGCTGTCCTGGAACTCGCTCTGTAGCTCTGTAGACCAGGCTGGCCTCAAACTCACAGAGATCCACCTGCCTCTGCCTCCCGAGTGCTGGGATTAAAGGCGTGCACCACCAATGCCCAGCTGAGCATTTACAATTATTATAAGCCCCTGTGTGGTAATTTGGAAGCAGCTGCTGGGACAGGAAAACTCCACCTATGGATTATCTCTGAAAGGAAAAGAAAAAAAAAGAAATGGGAAGAAAGGAATGAAGCTAGGAAGGAGGGAGGGAGAGAGGGAAGGAGAAAGGAAAGAAGAAAGGAAGAAGGAAGGAAGAAAGAAGGAAGGAAGGAAGAAAGAAAGAAAGAAAGAAAGAAAGAAAGAAAGAAAGAAAGAAAGAAAAGCCAGTGTTTCTTTTTGCTCAAGGAACAAAATCGAAGTTGTTCACCTGGGCATGCAGGAGCTATCAGTGGATGTCTGCTGGCTTCCAGTGGGATCCATCCTCCCCCTCCCTCAGCCTCCTGGCACCCCTACCTCAAGCCCACAGCCCTGCCTTTACTCATAGAAGACCCAACACTTGTTTTCACTCCTCAGCTCCCTACCTAACTGTCCTGTGTCCATTCTTACACGGGGACTTTTAGACTTTACTGGAGTCACCATTAAGCCAGGTATACTCCAAGTGCTTCTCTGTCATCACAGAGACCCAGAAAAAGAAAAACAAACTCATTCCGTTTTTCAGAAGTGCAAAGAATGAGCTTGAGAAAACTATCCTGTTACTTCTCCTGCAGTGGTGTCCCATGGTGAACATTGTCAGCTCACCGACATATCTAAAGTAATAAAGTTTTAAAAAAGACAATTATTAGTGAGCAGAGTGGAGACAAGAGGCAGGCTTCGTGACATTTAGCTATTAACCCTAAGAGTGATGGCTAGACTCGTCCCTGCATAGAGACCTCTTGTGCCCAGAGGAAGCTTTATGTTGCTCTGTTGCTAGAACCTAGCTTTAACTTCCATTCCCTCCTCTCTGTCTCTCCCTCTTTTGTTCTTTCTCTCACCCTTCTGCTCCTTCTCCTCCTCTCCTCCTTCTCTTCATTCTCAAGCCCTCTTCTCACCAAAGAAAGTCTTCCTGCGATGATCAGTGTGAACAACATATTTGAAGCAGTGGCTTTGCTGGCAGTGGGTTGGGAGCCTGGAGCCTGCCTCCTGTCCCCTGCTTGTTACATTCCTGCTGTGCAGGAATCTGAACAAACCAGTTTGAAGGTCCCAGTGGGTGGTGTGTGCTCCTGTGGGGGCATGAGTCCCTGTTTGGAGGTGGGATGAACAGAAGGTGATCTTCTTCTTCTTCTTCTTCTTCTTCTTCTTCTTCTTCTTCTTCTTCTTCTTCTTCTTCTTCTTCTTCTTCTTCTTCTTCTTCTTCTTCTTCTTCTCCTCCTCCTCCTCCTCCTCCTCCTCCTCCTCTTCTTTCTGCTCCTCTTTCTTTCTTTTAAAATTTGTAGCATGCTCAAAGCTCCTCCCCACTTTGTCTCTAAACCTCTGACTTTATGTTCTGGGCTTCCTAGGACTGGGGTTGAACTGTAAGCCAACAAACACTTCTAGTGCTTGCCAAGACACCTTCCTGCTGAGAACTCACAGCAGCCCCTGCCCCAAGAGAGCTGCAACTGACTGGCTGCAGTCCTCAGAGGGACTGCAAACTTGCAGGTCTTTATCTGATTACTTGCCATGACCCCACTCTCATCCAAACTCCACACAGCTGCATCGGGAAGCATGCCCTGTGCAGCTGCACCTGGGTGCACGCCCTTTCTGCTTTATACCTGGAAGCATGCCTTTTGAAGCTGCACCTGGATGCATGCTCTTTCTTCGCCTTCTCTTGGAAGCATGCCCTTGCCTCATTGTATCTGGAAGCATGCCCTTTCTGCATTATATCTGGAAGCATGCCCTTTTGCAGCCAAGCTCTTTCTCTGCCCCACCAACCAGCTCTCAGATAATGACATGAAGACTTCTCAGGGCTGCCAACTAGAGCTTAAATAAAATTCCAACTACACTGTTTCTTCAGTTGCACCTGAGTGCATGCCATTTCTGTAGCTTCACTTGGGAAATGCTCTTTCTGCATTATACCTGTGTACCTATCCTTTCTGCGACTGCACCTAGATGCATGCCCTTGCTGCATTATACCTGGATGCATTCCCATTCTGCAGCTGCATCCAGAAGCATGCCTTTTCTGAGACAGCCTGAGTTCATAACATCAGCACAGAATTGTTTGGTAAAAGAGGAACCGTTGTAATCGACAGAGACCACCAAATGACAAAAGCTATATAAACAGCTGTGGGTGGCTGTGAGATCTATAAATTGTTTGAAGCCCATCGCTAAGGAAGGAAGCTGAGACCCTCCTGAAATGAGCTCATGCTTGCTATCTCAGATGTTTCTCACATTGTGGCCCCCTCCTTTAGTGCGACCCAT